GCAACCTCCGCCTCCTGGGTTCAGGCAATTCTCCTGCCTCAGCCTCCTGAGTAGCTGGGATTACAGGCACGCACCACCATGCCCAGCTAATTTTTTGTAGTTTTAGTAGAGGCGGGGTTTCACCATGTTGACCAGGATGGTCTCGATCTCTTGACCTCGTGATCCACCCGCCTCGGCCTCCCAAAGTGCTGGGATTACAGGCTTGAGCCACCGTGCCCAGCCTTAATTTTCTATTTTTAGTAGAGACATGGTTTTGCTATGTTGGTCGGGCTGGTCTCAAACTCCTAACTTCAGGTGATCCATTGACCACAGCTTCCCAAAGTTCTGGGGATTACAGGCATAAACCACTGCACCCGGCCCTTTTTTTTTTGAAGGTCTCCAGTGCTCAGGCTGAAGTTGCAGTGGTGAGTTCACAGCTCACTGCAACTCAAACTCCAGGCTCAAGTGATTCTCTCACCTCAGTTTCCCGAGTAGCTGGCACTACAGCTGTGCACCACTATGCCTGCCTAATTCGTTTTTAATTTTTGTTTTGTTTTGTTTTCTTCAGACAGAGTTTCACTCTTGTTGCCACAGCTGGAGTGCAATGGCTTAATCTCAACTTACTGCAACCTCCACCTCCCAGGTTCAAGCAATTCTGCTTCAGCCTCCCAAGTAGCTGGGATTACAGGCACCTGACACCACACCCAGTTAATTTTTGTATTTTTAGTAGAGATGGGGTTTCACCATGTTGGCCATGCTGGTCTCGAACTCCTGACCCCAGGTGATCCGCTTGCCTTGGCCTCCCAAAAGGCTGAGATTATAGGCATGAACCACTGCACCCAGCCTACTTTTAAATATTTTTGTAGAGACAGGGTTTCAGTCTGTTGCCCAGACTGGTGTCGAAGTCCTGGCTTCAAGTGATTACCACCTCGAGCCTCCCAAAATGCTAGGATTACAGGTGTGAGCCACTGTGCCTGGTCTCCAACCATATTTTTTTTTATTTGTTTGTTTTAGACAGAGTCTCACTCTCTCACCCAGGCTGGAGTGCAGTGGTACCATCTCTGCTCACTGAAACCTTCGCCTTCCGAGGTCAAGCGATTCTCCTACCTCAGCCTCCCGAGTCGATGGGATTACAGGCACGTTCCACCATGCCCAGCTAATTTTTGTATTTTTAGTAGAGAAGAGGTTTCACCATGCTGGCCAGGCTGCTCTCAAACTCCTGACCTTGTGATCTGCCTGCCTCGGCCTCCAAAAATGCTGGGATTACAGGCATGATCCACAACCATGGTTTTAAATAACATTCATATGCCAAGAACTCCCACATCTCTAGTCCTTCTCACTGGATTCCCCAACTCCATTGATTCATGTCTGCAAGGTCTCCAGCTGTATATCTAACTGGCATCTATTTATCATATAGAAAATAATTTTTTTTTTGAGTCAGTGTCTTGCTCTGTTACCCAGGCTGGAGTACAGTGGCGAGATCATGGCTCATTGCAAACTCCTCCTTCTCCTGGGCTCCAGTGATACTCCCATCTCAGCCTTTCAAGTAGCTGAGACTATAGGCAGGCGCCACCAAGCCTGGCTAATGTTTGTACTTTTTGTAGAAACAATGTTTCATCATTTTGCAGAAACAATGTTTCATCATTTTGCCCAGGCTTGTCTCAAACTCCTGGGCTCAGGCCATCTGCCTGAGTAGGCCTCCCAAAGTGTTGGGATTACAGGCACAAGCCACTGTGCCAGGTCCCAAAGCAATTCTCTAAAACCTGAAGCAAAGCTCATCACTCATCCCAAAACCCTCTGATGGTTTTTCATTCCACATAGAGAAAGCACAAATCCTTACAATGGCTTTGTGAATTACTACTGAATCTCTGACTGGGATTCCCCTCAGTGATGCTGGCCTTTTTGTTGTTTCTTTCTTCCTTTCTTCCTTTTCTTTCTTTCTTCTTTCTTTCTCTTTCTTACCGAGTTTCACTCTGTTGCCCAGGCTGGAATGCAGTGGCGCAATCTCAGCTCACTGTAGACTCCACCTACCGGGTTCCAGCGATTTTCCTGCCACAGCCTCCTGGGTAGCTGGGACTACGGGCACGCACCACCACGCCTGTCTAATTTTTGTATTTTAGTAGAGACGGGGTTGCACCATGTTGGCCAGGATGGTCTCAAACTCCTGACCTCAAGTGATCTGCCTGCCTCGGCCTTCCAAAGTGATAGGATTACAGGTGTGAATCACCGCGACCAGCTTTCTTTTTCTTTTTTTTTTAATAAGGAGTTTCACTCTTGTTGCCCAGGCTGGAGTGCAGTGGTGCGATCTCGACTCACTGCAACCTCCATCTCCCACATTCAAGCGATTCTCCTGCCTCAGCCACTGAGTAGCTGAGATTACAGGTACCCTACACCACACTAATTTTTCCTAGTTTTAGTAGAGACGGGCTTTTGCCACGTTAGGCAGGCTGGTCTCCAACTCCTGACCTAAGGCGATAAGTCCGCCTCCTCCTCCCAAAGTGCTGAGATTAAAGGCGTGAGCCACCGGCACGACCTTGTTGTTTTTCATAAACACCAAGCATGCTCCCTTCAGGGCCTGCGCATGTGCTGTCTTCTGCCTGTACTGCTAGTTATTCTTTGTAACTTCCTCCTCTCCCCTCCAAGTATTTAAACAAAATAACACTTTCTGAAAGAGGCCTTGCCTAGCTACAATATGTAAAATTTTAACATTACGGGCCAGGCATAGTGGCTCACGCCTGTAATCCAAGCACTTTGGAGGCCAAGGTGGGCGGATCACCTGAGGTCGGGAGTTCAAGACCAGCCTGACCAACATGGTGAAACCCC